CTGCGCACACGCCTCGTCCCCCCACTTCATTCACTCCTTATTATCAAACCGCTTTCAGTTCATTTTGTATGTCTACGTGGGTGGTGCCAAGACTCTTCAAACATCTCTTCTTACTTGATTTGGTTATATACTGAAGAGTTATGTTTGCTATAATTCAATTATTCACAGCTCATTCCTTGGTATACTTTCTCGGCCTCTTCCACTTTCTGCATCTCCTTTTATTGTAATTTATTTTTGTCTTTTAAATCATCACAGAATTATTCTAGATGGCTCTACTCTCGATCTCCCAAATTTTGTTTGTATTTCTAATTGTAGCAGTTGGTGCTAGATACGAAGACAGTAAGTGCTTACTCAACATCATCTTACTAACAAGGAAGCAACACTTGGTTGAACCGGCAACGGAAAAACCGAATCCAAATCTGCCTCTCATATCTGCGTTCCTTTGAAAAAATTATGAGGCTTTTCCATAAAAATATGTCTGTAAGGACTGCCAATAATCATCTTTAACATAAAACTGAATCTAATTAAATAAGGAATTGATAATTGATAAAAAAGATTATCGCATCAGCATTCACCTTTTGTTTGTTGTTTCGGGTAAAAGCTCCCATTTGACCTCTATTTTCTACGAGTCTTTTATTCGTGGAACGGGAAAAACGTCCACAACTTGTTCGAGAACTTTCGCTGATTCTAGTGACGAAGTTGGAATATGCATGTCGAAAAACATTTACCAGTAGGCATCTTTCTATGAAACAACGCTTTGATTAACTTTTCTTTCCTTAGAGTATATTCTCTGTTAAATATCAACCCTTAGTAAACAATTTAGCTCCTTTTTAGTCTTTAGCAATAAGGGCAGCAGGGGACGGTTGATGACCAGCAAAGTTTTTGTAAGGTCTTGGTTTCCCCTTTGTTCCGTTTGATTCCAATTTGTATGTACCTCAAGTGGGAGAATACCCGTTTAATGAGAGAGTTGGAAACTCATGGTTTTAGCACCACTAGATCTGCCTAAA